TTTTGTTGTTGTTTTTATGGGGTAAGGGATTTCGACAGGCAGACCGTACAGCATTCGCGCCACTGATTTCTATCCCAGGCCATATCTCGCTCCTCACCCCTTGGACCTCAACCTGGAAGGCGGGTTACACCAACCGAAGCCAAATCTGAAGCTAGCTTCTTCATACCTCTACGCCATGTCATGGTCTGATCGCCGCGTCGCTTTTTCCAGCCTTGCCCGGCACGTGCAGTAAGAGCACGGCAAGGTAGTTGATGAGCAGGCCTACGCAAAACGTGACCGAGCCATCGGAGGCGGTGTAGAACGATTAATTCTGTTAGGGAACGACTATCCACACCCAACGCACGACGACAGACCTCGTTATTGCCCACCCGATGTTCCCACCAGACATGAGCAATGCTTCGGAGGCATCGGTGGTCGAATACAGAGGGTCGATTAGCATCCTCCGCTCGGACAGGCCAGGTCTAGCAACCGTAAAGCAGAACACTATGAACTGCGGCGATGTACACTCTTCCCTTAAGGGACAGTCAGATGTCATGATGGCGCCACAGGTGTCTCAGGTTGGCGAAAGCTGCTCTAGATTTCGCTATTCGTGATGTGATCTCCTTTTCAACACAACCACCAGCTGCGATCAAGCTCCCGAGGTACTTAAAGTTCTCAGCTACTTCTAGCTGATCACCACAGAGGTTGAGGGCAGATACGAGCTCTTACCAGTATTGAACAAACGCTGCATTAAGGACGGCGCAAATCACATACCTCTATCACCAAGTGGCTCAAAGCATGTTGGACTGGTTGTGTGTTGTCATTCAGCAAGGCGATGCCATCGGCATATTCTAAGTTAAGAACTGTTCCCGGGAAGAGGAGTTCGATTCAACAGTCCGTTAGATCGGACAAAGCATTCTGTAGAACATCAACTATGGCAGAGTTGAAAGGGAATGGCGACATAGGATAGCCTTATCGAACTCCACTGGAGACGGCGAAAGCTAGTCGTAGGCCCTAACCCGACCTGAGGTATAACGATACAGTTCGAACTTCAGACGTTTCAACCGCCTGTACGCCACTTGGTTTAGTAATTAAGCATGTATATATACTGTATATGCAAAGTGTATACAGTAGAACATCAGTCAGTTATTTTTATTTGCTTCATCGAAGCTCTTTCGTAATTGAGGATGATCATCCTTTCGTTCTATAAAAAGGTTTCTAAGTCACGTGCTGGATGCACTCAACGTGCATCTTGAGTGTGCGCAAATACTCGATATGGCAGCACCAATCGCATGGTTTTGTTGCAGACAATTCTTAAGGAGTGAATAATACGTTTTAGCAGTTTATTATTATGCTTGCCCAGGAGCTTAGAATGTTTATATTTATACGTTCCAGTCCGGTCTGCTTACAACCGCCTCACTTCTGCCAAACGGAGAGGAAAAAGCGCGTAAAACGGAGATGCAGAAACAAGTGATCCGTCGTCTGCTTCACTTGGGACGGAATATTTTGTGGAGCCTGTTGCTCACAGTCGGTAAGGAACAAGCGTGCTTCGCTGAGGCGAAGTGATCAGTGACATATTTTGCAATACATACTATTATTTTATTTATTTGTTATCCTTTGGCATGCCTGTGGTGTTTAGTTCCTAGATGATGCCAAACGAAGAGGATGCTGCATGCTGTAGTCACTCCAACCGCAAATACGCACACTTAAGTATGGCCAGATTACGGATTCCACTGTAACGTAAAATTCACATGATGTGCCTATTTCAGCTGTCTCTGCCACGCAGCTTTCATAAAAGGTTTTATTTCCAAGAACTCGCCAACCTTTAGAGACCTAAATATCATTTTTACTATATCGAGGTGTTATTTCTAAACCCACAACCTATTGGCTGTATGTATAGTTGTTTCATTCCATCGCTGGCATAGAGGGAAAACGGATCTACATTTGACAGCCCGAAATTTTGCCGAAAAACGCAAGTGCCTGATAAAAATACCGGTAATGGTTACGAGTATTCTGGCTTTCCCGGCGTTAACCCAACCGCTGTATGTAAATTCATCGCCGTCAAAATCCTGCTTTGAGCAGTAGCTTAAGACCACCTTTAGTAGAATAAATGGTCTATAACATCAGGTATCTTAAGCCATGAAAAACACCCAATCCTTCTTGGGAATCAGCCACATTTTTATCTACGATCATATGAACGTCAGAAAATTCTACACCAATGATGATGCCCTTCCAAAAATCGGTCTATCATTCCGAAGGAGCATATTTAAAAAGCATTAGGGATACTGGACATCCCTGTCGCATTCCAGATTCTAATTCAAACCTCAACGATTCCTGGACGACACGGATCTCAGCCCTTCTGTTGAAATAGAGCTTTGTTTGTTATCGCCAGTTTTATGGCCTAACGAAGCCTCCATTGTCCCTCCTGATTTAAAAGTTGCTTTTCACACTCCACAGCGATGTTTTTGGGAGAACTAGAGGAGTTACTCTCATTGAGTCTTTGTAGATTCAGACATGACAAGGAGCGACTGCTCTAACCTTCGTACCCATCGAGGGTTGATTGACTTGTTCCTGTTACAACACGCAAATTTCAGGACTCAATTGTAATACTTAGTTAATAATTGCAAGTTATTTGAAGTGTTTTTCCTTTCTCATTTCAGCTCCGTGGGATGCATTGGTCGCTTCACTGTTCTGCATACACATAAGATTTACTTAAAATGCTCGGATCATTCACTGTTGATCTTCGCCCACAACAATTACCTTACATGACTATCACATCATGCCTGCACGATGGAGCTGTATTCAAGGGTACTCAAAGATCCAAGAGCAAAGAATACGACGTTGAAGTCACCATACAAGTGAGCTGTCTGTTTCGTTTGTTCTATTTCACCTAACTCAAGTCTGTGGATTATCCACGCAAAACACTGTACGGTTACATCAAAATGGATAATCTCATCATTCCTTACGGAAGTCTAACGACATACTTCGAGGGTGAAATAATCAGCCGAACGTTTCCATTTGTTACAGGCAAATGGGGTGCAAGTGTGGAGACTGATATTGCTCATTGGGTAGGTTTTTTTTCTCGTATGTGATTAACTCATCTTTAGGAGAAAATAGCAGAAGGTACACCGTTTGGTAGCTTTCACAGTGACAATTTTAACTATTCTTTACTGGAAAATTCTGGTACCGTCTTCATGCGCTGGAAGGTTAGCCGGTTACGTTTTGTCATATTGAACGTGTTGAGTAGGAAAAGTTTGCGCTTCCTCGCGTGAAACAAGTCGATGGTGCTTCTTATGCGGGATTCTACTACATTGGATTCAACAAATGGAGCGGAGAAATCCTTGGCTACTACTACCATTTGGATTGTGAAAAGTAACTTTGAGTTCACTCTCGTACAGTTAACTGATTCACAGGTTTCAGAGTTTGCAACTCACTTACAAACCAGATGATGCACCGTCAATATTCGAACTGCGATAAGATACTGTGATACTTCCCCATATTTTCAATCATTAATGTGAACAGATTACCTTAGATTAACCCAATGTTATTTCCGGCTCTTTCTTTGATAAAATCAATCTTGATATTTCATTTGCTTCTCAGTTGAGCTGCTTACAAGGAAGGGTTGACTACAGTGCTCGTGGCTACCTTTTCTAATCGGAAACAGGCATAAGTCAATGTTGACGTAGTATTGCTGTCCAAATTCGTTTTCACCTGTTCGCTAAGCTTGATGTTTTTTCTACCAACATAACGGAACCATAACACAAGCACTGAACGTGTCACCTCGATTGGCTACGAATCGTTTGCAAACCAATGTATATCATAATATGGTGCTAACTTTCAGCTGGCCAATTACCGTACACCGAACCAGAGGTACATGCATGCTGCTGTACGTGACGGGTTCAAAGTGACCAAAAAGCAATCCTACCGAAAGTATCTCCCCATTTCCAGTCTGTCATCAATGTCTTTTTGGATACAGTCACCCAGGACCTCAGTTTAACTAGGCCCCTGTGCCTGCATACGATAATTCCCGATAGGCCAGCGGGCGATGGTTTGTCCCGACACAAGTCTGTGGCACATTCCTAATAGCTTCACCAGGCTATGCGCTATGATCGCAACACAAAAGAATTAGTTCGCAGAGTCTAGCATCCGGGAAATCTTATGAATTAGTCCGGCAATAATATCAGAAATAGTCAGTAACTGAAACAGTCAGGAAGATAAATCAACGCATATCACTGAGGCACTTTGCTGGTTGAAAGTCATGCTATGTCGACTTAGGAACCAAGTAGGTAGAATACAGTAAGAAAACTCTGTTGTTTTCACTCCAAATTTTCATACCGAAAGAAAAGCTAAACTCGCTCACACGTTGAAAACGAATGAGCGCTGGTCAGTTTGGTGGTGATCATTTCAAAGACAAGCAAATAGCTCTGGTCTACATTGGAATGTAGAACGACTTTGGTAAGTGTATTGATCGCCATACATAACTCGGTGGTAAAACCGTAAAGTAGAATAAACACCACGAAAACACGATCCAAATGCAGTGCTTTCTCTTTTGGGAACAGAACAATTCATTTAGAGATTGATGCGGAAAGTAAATTGTGCAGAATTATAACAACGATAAACGGACACGTTATTCAGTGAATTTGAAAACTCGCCAACAATCCTACGCAAAAACGTTACACCGGTCACATGGACGTCGATATTCTCTGCGCTGCTTTCATTTCACTTTTGAAGAGCGTCACACCCTCCGATGACTCTTTTCATTTTTACTCCCTTTTATTGAATATACAATGATACGATTTTCAGGAAGCGGTTAGTGTAAGAGTTGTCGTACGATATAGAGTGAGGAAAGTCAGGTGGTGCTGGTGGCCGGGTTCGAACACGTCCTCCCGGTTGATAATTTGGCGGCCTGTACCACCACCAATTCAAGTGTCTATCTTCAGAACGGGCAATATTTGGATGCGGATATGTATGAGTTCCGCTAACCCTCAAGGGTTGCTTCAGCTGCAAGGCCTAATGGAATCGCAACCACAACGCTGGTCCCCTCAATCGGTGGAATGGTTTTCTTTATAAATGAATCCCTGCTTCTGGAGACAGGTCAGTACCATTCTCGTCTTGCAACAATCCAAACAAAATACTGTGTAGAAACGCTAAGAGCCTTCACACCGACCGTACAAAATTTATTTATAAATGTCCCTGAGGATCCACTTATGTATAGTTACAGAGCAGACAAGCTTATCTTCTATGCAGCGGTTTCATTCTCTCATTGATTTGCTCCTTCTTAAAACAAATCTGAAAAGCTGTTCAATACCTTTCTTGACTGTTTATCAGCTTTTGATTCGGTCTTCAGGTCATCAATCGTTTTTTGGTTGTTCAATACAGTTACTTTTCTTTGTATGTAATCAATTTATCAAACGTGAATGATAACTCAAGTCGAAGACGACAAATTCAAAACCTTGAACCAACAATTCCGAAGTGTTACAAGGTCGTATGCTCTCTTTTCTTTTTCTAATAATCACATAGATTGAAATATGCTGATGACAACGCCGTATATCAAGTTACCTTGGATCTTTCAGACTTAAATTCCAAACAATCAGTTGTAGAATCACAATTTATGGTCCACATCTGAACTTACCTCAAATGTACCCAAATGTCTGATCAGACTTTCGCGCCCTCCTTTCCCTATGGATGATATAAAAATGAGAGATGACTCTCTGGCCAGATTGAGTTCTTCCAAATACTTGAGTCATAATAAACAGTAATCCTCAATCGTCTTCAGAACCGCTAACTCAGATAGCTCTCTAACACACGTTTTAATCGAGTGCACAATAGTGGATGTTCCGCATAATACTGTTTTTTTTATGGTAGGATTTACCCGTTTTATCACAAATTATAATTTTTGGTACTGAAAAATAATTTCAGTGTAATGAGAATGATAATTAGATCACAACTGCATTGCCTAAATCGGAGCCTCTCCAAATTACAGTTCCTCAGACCTCACTATTCTTCTTTTTATTTTACTTTTATTGAATATATAAATATACAGTTCTCAGGAAGGAGAAGCGGCCAACCAAAGGGCTGCCATTCAACACAATGAGGAGAGTCAGTCGGTAGTGGTGGGATTCGAACACATCCCCGAGGTGATAATTTGGTAACGTTACCACCGCCCTATTCTCGGTTGTGTCAGTGTAGAAATTGCACAGCATAGAGGCTGTTGGCTTGCTTCCTATCTTTATCTCAATCTATACTTGTCTATGCACTTTGATGCTAGAAGACCCAGTTTGAAGCGACGCTATTCCCTCGGTCAACTAACTGTTCTGAAATATTTGCTCAACGAACGTGCGTCTTTACACAGTTTTGTTTGATTCCTTTCGGTTACCCACTTGGTACACCAATAAAGAAGAATTAAATAACAGTTCGAAACCAACAGATCCATACTGTGTCCCTAGCCTTTGATCTTAATGTGTAACCCGGTCGAATCAGAGGTAACCACGAATAATTTCATTCCATCAAACCAACAGGAGTGATCACCTACTCCCCGTGAGTGTATATGACGAATTGCTTTTGATGCGCGCCGACTTCCCAGATAAAAAAGACGCCATATTACATAGCGACCTCTCTAAAATTGTCAATAATCAAATTGTTGAGATAAATGGTATGAAGCTATAGGAACAGGTCGTGCTCGGTACAAGCCACAGTACTGCATCAAATCTTCTGATTATTTGCTTCTATTGCATATTCTCAGTACTGGAATATGCATAACCACACTTTAGTGGCTTGGAGGTTACTGATATTTCTCAGAACTTTCCGCGAACGTTCTCTTCCGATATCCGATTCAGATGGAATAGAAACAATGTTTGAGATTGTACAAAATTTATATTCTGAAACATCTGAAATGTTGGAAGTGGGTTACTGCTAGCTTCGGCTACTATTTTGGCAACAGTAGCAGAAATCTAGAACTAGATCTCATCAGAGCAGAGCAATCGTGTGATACAGAGCTCATTGGGGGTAATTGTACCGATACGGTGTATTCGAGCTCAGCAAGAGCACGATAATAGTAAAAGCAAAACGTGTCTCTGAGAGTGTTGAATTTGTTGCATCTAATAAGAAGTTCCGCCTGAAGGAACACTACCGCCAAATAATGGAGATATGTGCCAAACCTCGACGATATACTTGATTCTGACCGATTGAGAAGAAAGGCTGGTTATTAAAAAAAATGTCTTTGTTTATTGAATATACAAATGTATAGCGAACATTTAGGAAGGAGGGCCGCGGCCATACAAAGGCTGCCTGGGAAGATGGGCGGTGGTAGATCGGTTCGAACCCGGGACTGACAGGTCACAAGTTGGTGACCTAACCACTTGGCCACCACCGCCCTTGGAATGATAAGAATAACTGGCCTACCTCTTGTAATAACTACGTATGATCAAAGGGTAAGTTTCTACTAGATACCTAAGCCTTACTGATTCTGATAAGCACCCCACGGTTATGCAGCCATGTCCTGATAGCCCTCAGTTAGATAGGATTGTTTGAAAATTGAACCTGTCCTACTGCTAGAGGTGCCCGTGTTTTTTGAAGTTGCTTCTTGCCCTTGGTTTAATGATCACGTTCAGCGGAAACTTAGGGAAAAGTGAGAGGCAAGAGAAAGCTGGTGTGGTGAAACTGTCAGCTAAGGAACCGACACAACACCANAACCTCTACAGTATAGGAGGTTGGATACTTCCATTTACCAAGAGTCTCAAATTCCTGTGAATACTCGTTGTGAACCAAAGAACAGAAGGGTGTCCCAGGGATATTTTGGATTTCTAAGTGGTATGTGCTACTGTGTATATACGCGCACAATATCGGTAATGTACAACATGATTGTTTGAAATCTGACCAGAACAGTTGGCGGGCAAATGACCGTAGCTTCGAGATCAGCCGAAATTGTCCATCACCCGCCACCTGGAAATGGTGGTTGCAACTGAGAGTACAGATTGGCGGAAGAATATTGTGCTTGGTACACTCGTGGACAGAAATTGAAAAGCGGGAATTTTAGGTCATACACACTCATCTGCGAGATGAAAACCGATCGTTGTAAATTTACCAAAATAATGTATACGATCAGCGTCAAGCTTTGTTTGATCAATAGGTAAACTGTCAATAAGGAATTGGATTGATTATTCTTTCCTGTTCGGAGTGTCGGACGTTTTGAGTTTGGTTCTTGCCAAAGCCACATAGAAAAGCGGAGTGTCACTTGAAGTATCCTGGAAACCGATGGGCCCAAGCTCACAATCCGCACAAGTCAGATATCGGACGGCGCCCACATTGTGAGTAAATCCAACATTTTCAAACGTGTACATGTCCTTCACGGACCAGAACTGGTCTAATTCTTCCGTCGGAAATTCACTGGAAGCGTTCGTGAGCTCAGACTTTTTGGCATAAACTGGAAGGGAATGCTGTGGAATAAAGAAATCACGCAGGACATTGGTGGTTGTTGTGAAAGTACACGTAGAGGAAGAACAGTCAGTCGGTCATTTGATCTGATTAAAAAGCGGAACAATCTAGGATGCCATAAGGGACTGAATAAAGCTATATTCTGGTACATGTTAGGGTGAAAAACTAAATTTTTTTACATTCACGGTCTTGATGCAATGAAATCATGTTACAATGGTGGTGTTTCGAACTTTATTATATCAAGGGGGTGTATGGGGTACCCGGTAAGAGTAACACCTTTGACTCGGAGATCTGTCGGCCCCCTTGGGGCATCCTCCGTTCTTTTGTCTCCATCAGGTGCTCAGCTCTCATCTGTAACTTCAAGAAACTGCTTCGATCACACCCCAGCAAACCGCTTGACAGGTGGACTAAACCAGGAGCTCAACTCCTGGTGAGTCGGTGTCTGACATACAAACGGATGAAGTCATTTTCACGACTCAAAGGTCAATGCAATAACTCTGTACTCATCAGAGATATATGGACCCCTGTTCAGCTAGAAATTGTCAATGGCGTATGAGCTCCCCGCAAAGGGCCTCCGGCAACCATGCAGTTAGCACTTGGATGCACAACAGCTAGAGATGCCACCTCGACCCAAAACCGGGAGAAGCTGGGGACGTTTCCTGTACCTAACTCCCAAGCAATTTCACGGATATCTCCATGAAGCCGACTTATCCTCTCCCAGGGGTCAGCCGCCGCAAATTAGGTAAAAGTAAATTAGAATTAAACGATAACATATAAACTTCCTGAGTGAAATTGTTTTCGTTAGAACGAAACACCAGTTTCAGTTTGGGTGTCATAAAGTATTTCACACCGAGTCTAAAGCGATTACTTCATTGCATATAAGTTCGAGGGGATTGCCTAACTGTATATTGTGTCATCCATGGAGAAAAGTCACACCGCCGACGAGGTATAAAGACCCCGTCCGATCAGCTAGTACAATCAAGGTTTGTAACGATTGGCCTTATTTATGCAATGAGATATCATTCAACTATGATGTAAGGCTTGGTTGCAGGATGACCGGGATAGAGAAACCGAACATACGGTCTATGACGATCGTATTTTGTGCCATGGCTAAACTGCATTCAAAATGTTCGCTTGGCTCGATGGCAGGTGACGAAGTCTGCTACCAGTAGCGCCGTACGCGGATAGGATGGCAACTCAGATGATAAACCGCGAATGGCTTTGCATTCATCCAATTGATGAAAGGTCACAGGCAATTAGGAACGACGCCGGAGGACGGGGTGGCTATTCGCCTGACACTGTCAGAATGCCCATGTCAAAGCGGATGGATTTTCTTGGGAAATTCACAACCGGGGGCTTCGATTAGCCTGACCCGTGAGGTACCGCACCGGTGAAAAACAATTTATTAGGGACCGGTGTTGTGTTCATTGGACCATGCTCTCCGAAGGCGGGATCAAACGTAATAGATAGCCAACACACCTCGATGCCTAACGAAATCGGTGACTAATATCAGAAATGTGAAGGTGCATGTGTGATTTTTAAGCCTGTTTTGGTTGATTTGGAATCCGTTTTTTCCAATACATCTCAGGGAACTGCCAGACATTAACTTTCTGTCCCATCAACTTGATGGGAAAACGCCGCCATATGAAAACAGAGAATAGGACTTGGTCGTATCGGGATATATGGTTAGGCGCAAAGGAAGAGTACTCAGCCACAATCCAATATATTGAGGCTTTCGAAGGCCTGTTGAAAGCAGGGATCATGTCATAGATCAAGTGAACGATGTTTCGTTTTTTTCAGCATAATATCGTGAAGCTAACTTCACTGATCACTCCACTACTCGTAGTGCATAAAAACTTAGAATATGTGGGGTCGATAAGGATTGGGCCCATTCTTAGAAAGGAAGGAAAAAGTGAATCTCTTTCGAAAAAACAGAGTACATAATATTCAAGCATTCTGGCCTGATAAGAACGCCACTGCTTTCGGTTAGCTGCTATATCCATCAGTGTCTACAACCAAACAGTTTCAGTCTTTGGACCCCAACCTGTAAGGCGGGAGACGAAGCGAGGGATTACTTTCTGCTGCCTTGCAGTTCGCACTTGGTTGTGCAAAGGCTAGAAATGCGTACCCAAATTAAAAACGCCGAGTGACGCTGGGGACGTCTCTCGTACCAAACTCCCGAAGAACTTCAAGATCACGATCATGTCTGGAGCCGGCTTATCCTTTCCAAGCCTCAGTAAACAAACAATAGCTTTGTCCTTTCTTCAAGCCCCGCCTCCACGCAGTCTGTTGACCTACGCATGGTTTCCTCCAACTAGAAGCCGCTAAAGCGAATAGAGTGCGGTGCAGTAGACGACAGCTGGGCACACGCAGCGATCAACGAAGTTCACTTCTCTGTATCTCGCTGTACGATGACGATAATGCAATGCATGCCCCAAACAGTGAAACCCACTAACATTAATTCGATACCCGATAAACTACCAAACACAAAACAGGTTATCTCCAGATTACTAGCCCGTTCGCTCCAACCCACGTGGGCTAAACTACGTAAACAACGATAATAGAAAACTTCTAGTGGATGGATATCTTCGACTCGCAAATCCAAGGTCTCACAGCAACGAACAAACGGCAGCACAATAAACATGACCTTTAAACTTCAGTGAAAAGTCTCATTTAAATCAAACGTGTTTCCATCCTGCGTACGCTGTTCAAGCCATGAAAATGCGGGCGATTATCTCCTTTTCTGTGCTACTGTNCACATAACTACCTAAATAGGAAAAGCAATCCACCATTACTAATTTCTGGCCATTTACTTTCAAAGCGAGACTACAGGACACCCAATTTTGTAGCATCACTTTGAACTTTAAAGGTGCAACGCATATACTGAATGTGGTAACTGAATTTTACAGTCTGTCAAGTACATTTTGAGCGTGCTTATTACATTCGAATAGACAGACGATGCCACTAGGGTACTCCAAATAGCAGAGATTTTCACAAACTGCACAGCTAATGGCTATATTTTGGAGACTACATATTGCACTCTGCCATAATGCGTCTACGACGAAAGTGAACAAGTGGCTAAAAAGAGTACCCTTGACGAACGATCTATTTATTTGTTTTGTATAACATACAAAGTGATTTGCAGCAAAAGCAGTAAACCCCATAGTCAATGACACAATGTATGGGGAAGCTATGTGGAGGCACATTACAGTGAAAAACAATTTATTAATCCATTGTTGAAAAGAGTAAGATGCTGACAGCTTGGAAAAATGGATGGGAAGAGTGTTCCACAATTTCCTAGGAAAGAAAGAATATTGGAAAACAGAGATTCGACATCTGGGGACTGGAACCTGATAAGGGTAACTACCCGCCTGAGAATGAGATGGACAAGAAAAGGGGACCACTGAAGTGAGTTCAGAAAAGCAGAAACGAAAATAGTAACTGAAGCAAGTAGATAACGAAGTAACTGCTCCGCGATGTGAAAGCAATTGCAGATTGAATCAGCCGGATGGCCTTACGTTGAACACGGTCGAGGAGAGAAAAAGCGAAATACGAAGTTCCAACCCATACGTGACTGCAGTATTCGAGTATCGGATGGATTTGAGCTTTGTACAAGAGAAGGTGCTTGGGTATAAAGAAGCGCTTTGCACGGAATGAAAAACCGCATTTGCACACAGTGGGAGAGAAAAGTGTAACAATAAAAATAGACCAACAGAAAGTAGAATTTATGGATAAACCCAGGATGAGGAGAATTTGTGGAACAAAGGGACGAGTAAATCAAAAATTAATCGAGGAGAATATGGGATCTGTTTAAGAGAGACAGAGAAAGGATAATTCTCGGAAACACTGACACGCACATGGTTGGTAGAACCCCATGCGAAGATGAGTCCAAAATCGGAGACAAGAGAAGCACCAATGACATAGCGATTGTCATCGATAATGGTGGTAGCTTGCGGGGTAAGAAAGAGAACGATGGAGAGTGGCATCATCGGTAAAACAGTGAATGGGATTAGAGGTTTCGGACAAACTATTGTTGATCAACAGGAGAAACAGGGTAGTCAAAATTATGGAACCGTGGGGAACAATGGCATTCACAGGGAATGAGTGAGATAGGAATTCATCGACGCGGATGGAGATGGTTCGTTTACCGGGGAAATGTTGGAGCCATGACGCGATGACAAGTGGAATCCCAACGTGGGTAGTTTGCTATTGACTCTCACTCGACCAGAAGTATATGGGTACGGTGACTTCAGTTAGCGTACTTCTGGGGCGTGCCTTTTGGAAGAAACGACCCCTTAGAACTTCGCGGTCTACTGAGTCGAAGGTTCTTTTGAGGTCAAGGAACCCTAGTCGACGGTGGGGGTGACGCAGCCCGAGAATCTGACATGTCAAAAATTGATTAGTACATCCGCGACCAGGCTAGAATCCGGCTTGGTGTTCAAGGATGTTGGTCTCTCAAATAGAGTCAGACGTCGCGGTATGATTGAGGCTAACGGTTTGTGACGATTGGAACTAAACTTACCCCGCGGTGGCTTGCACA